TTTGGACACTATAATACAGCTCAGGGGTTCAAAGGACAAGGTTCACAAATGATTAAAATTGGCCCTAAATTTTTGATGTTTTTTAAATCGGGCCAAAAAATTACAAATTTCACATAGAAATACTTTTGATAATACTATTAAGACAAAAATATATTTTTTTGGCACCTTCCTTTATAATTATGTAGCTATGACCCCTTATATAAATATTATTTGTATTCTAAGGTCAATTTTGGTAAATTTTTTCTATAATTTTAATTGTTTTTGGCATAATTAACCTAGGCCACCATCCACTATCCAAAAAGTTTTTATATTGATGAATTCTATATAAAAATTGGAATCTTTTGGTTACAAAACATTTTGGATCGTAGGTGGCGGCCAAGGTGTTTCTAAAGCTTTTAGGTCTGAAAATTGCACAAAATCATCATATTTTGAAAAAATGTCCAAAATGGGCTTACTAAATTGGAGAATGTTATGTACTTTTATGAAAAGAACTGATTTATTTAGTATTAAGGCTTTTAAAATAGACCCATTTACGAACCAAATTGTGACCGTTTTGGTGATTTATGATAAAGTTGATATTTTGGGCCATTTTGGGCCATAAGTGAACCTTGTCCTTTGCTTTAAATAAATTTTAAGTGGAGGGCCCTCCATAAGAAATCAATGGTCATGTCTCAAACATCAGTGTAAAGAATGGTAGGTCCTTGACTTTTTTAATTTAAAAATGAAAAGTCCTCTCCTAGAAAAGGCAGGTGCCGGACCTCGGACCCACACTAATTTGAACCCCTGTAATGCATATTGAATGACAACACATGCATTTAACATTTCTGAGTTGAGTATTACATGAAAACATTTCCGACAGATGGATATGGGTGTAACATGATAAGATAATAATAAGGAGATGTGGTATGATTGCCAATGAAACAACTATCCGCCATAGTGCAAATGAAGTGGATATAAGCAAATATCGGCCACCGTACAGCCTTCAACAATGAGAACAACTCATACTGTACTTGAGTTTAAAAAAAGATGATCGGATTCATAAAGTATGTGTTTAAAGAAACAATCAATACAGCATTTGTTCATATGTATGGCTTGAATTCAAATATTAAATGACGCTGTTTTTTTTATTTGTAAACAAAGCATTATGTTCTAATTCAAAAACATATGTGATACATGTGCTTGACGTTACGAAGTGAATGTGCCATTAATGTCAGTTGAATTTGAACAATGCCGTAGATAAAAATTGATTTTTCTGGGGGAGTTGCTTGTTATAAAATTCAATAAAACCTTTTAAAAAAATAGACATCATTATGTACATCTATTTTGTACACTTCAAATTATTTTTATTTTTTTAAGAACAAATTTTTTCTTCATCAGATCAAAATGGCTACCTTTTTAAAACTGTCTTAATGTTCACAAAAAAGTTTTTTTTTTCTACAAGAATGAAAACAAACTCTATGCTCATTTTAACATGGCTAATGCCCAGAGTAAAATTATTGCCTACTCATGATAAAATGAGCATAGACCAGAAATGAAATAATTATTTCTTTAAACAGAAAATATAACATTTGACAATAAATTATAATGATCATAATTAATTTTTACATATACACACATACAGTACACATTATGTGATTAAAAAAATAACTCCCACTTGTGTTGAGTGAATCACTATGGGAACCAAAGCGCTGCTAACTAAGGTGATAACAATATTTATGGAAGATTCTGAGAGAAAATCACCAGCATTCACTTCGTAAACAACACCAAGAGTGAACAGAATGAACTTGTGTGTATTGTAAAAAAATTAATAAACATTCACTAGGATCGATATCTATGAGGGTCTGCATGGGGTTAACAAAATAGAAAATAATGATAAAAAAAATATCAAATAGAGAAAAATGAGAAAACATATATAAAGAATAGAGAATAACGGGGTGCAAAAGTATAAAGAATAGAGAATAATGGTGTGCAAAAGTATAAAAATAACTATTGAAAATTAAAGAATAATGCACGAGATTTTACAGAATAAGCGTTATTTTTAAAGATAAAGAAATAAAATTTTAAGAATACAGAAATTAAGGAGCCCCTATCTATATCCTCATCTATGTCTTTGTATTCATATCATATGTCTACTGTTCTCTTTTCCATCCAATACAGAATAGTTATTCTGAAAGGAGTTATTTCCCTTTATCAAATTATTTTTCATTGCAATGAATAATGATAATGATAATTATAATAAACTGCTGACAAAGAGATATATGTCTCACCTGTATCTGATTGCAAATTTTGAATACAAAAGGCAAAATTTTTAATTTCAAACTATGCAAAACTTTCAATTCATTGGACTGGAAACACTTTTCATTGTGAAATAAGGGACTTAATATTTGGGACCAAAAAGGGTCCTAACCGAAACCTATTCTTTAAAAAGATAAAATCTGTAATACATTTTTATTAAGATAGGTGAATAAAATGGTTTAAAAAGTTATTAAAGGGATTTGAATATTTTATATGGAGCATACTGTTACTGTAGATTCATTATAATTCGTGGGATACAAATTTTCTTTGATTTGGTTGTTACAGGTGAAACTCAAATTTAAATGTTCAATGAGGTACAAATTTTCTATAGGCCTGTAAACAGACTTTGGTAAAACCACAAAATCAAATATCCACGAAAATAATTTTTCTCTTTGATCCTCAAAAATTGGTACCAACAAAAATAAATGAATCAACAGTATAATAAGAAATACTATTAGTAAAGGGTCAAACACTAATACTCTTGCTTTTCTTAAATGCAGTGGTTTTGAAAAAAATTAATGATAATGGTAAAACCATTAAAATTCCAGAAAAATTAATCAACCATGATGAACTTGCATTAACTTGAAACATTTCATTATAAGTCTTAAACCAAACAAATGCTGTATTTCTAATTCTGTAACAATCATAACTATACAAAAAAAAAACAATAAACAAAAAGTGATAACAGATGGACAGACACACAATGATTACTAACATAAGTAAACATTATCAATAAAGGGTCATAATAAATATAGGATATCTACGATGATAAGTTAACAAGAATACTATACAATTAAATATTCTTGAATTCTATACAATTAAATTTTCTTGAATTCTATACAATTTAATTATCTTGAATTCTATAAAGTTAAATTTTCTTGAATTCTATACAATTATTTTTTTTTAATTCTATTCAATTAAATTTTCTTGAAATCTATACAATTAAATCTTCTTTTCACTTTATACAATGTGCAGTAAAACAAACAGACTAGAAATCTTCCTGTATTTTTATTATTTTCTACACAATTTTGCAGACTATTTCTAACTCATAATTACTTCAGTAAAATCCTACTTATTTAAAAAAAAATGTCTTTAATTTCTTTAATATGTAAATGTAATATTTATCTATTTTTGAAAGGAAATCATAATATACTAATAATTCTTTAATAAGCCACTGACATTTTTTTTTACAAAAAGGTACACAAATGTATTGAATGAATATGATAAAATAAAAGACAATTGTTCCAAAATTTCCTATAGCATGTTGTAGTTATTCATCATGGTCACATAATGTACGTATAATGTGTCTTCATTATTGCACCAAGTAGTAGTCTTTGCAACCAAACTTCTTTAAATGACATCAGCTAAAATCTCAAATCATGGAAATACTGCCAGTAAATATATGGTAAGAAAAAAAGGTTTATTATGATCATCACCTTATCATAACCATGAAAGCAGTTATGAGGCAATTAATAATTGAAGGGTTATAACTTCTGTAAAACTTTAGCAATCATTTTCTAACTCAATAAATATACAATATTAGGTATAACATTGACCTAATATTGTTTTTAATACATCGATAGCTATTTAAATTGTAGCGCAAATTTCATAATTATTTTCATCCCTAAATGAACCCCTGATTGTGGAAAAAGTGTTCCATAATGAAATTGACATTGCACAAAAAAAAGCTTTGTTACTATATTAAGGAAATAAACACAGCTAATTGCAGTATTATAAGGTTGTAATCCCCCCAAAAATAATTAATTGGCACCAGGTTTTGAACATGATTGAAATATTGTTAATACAAAGTTAACATACAAATTTTATCAAGATCAATCATGAAATACAAGGAAAAAAGTTCAATAGGCAATTTTTCGAATTATTTATATTTCCTTGCATACCCAATAATTCAGTTCAAAAATTTTCAATGGCTGTGGTTTGGACTTTGGACTTGCTGATGATGATATAAACCTCATATAAATTTTCATAAAAAAGATCCACCATGAACTGTAAGAATGAGTACACTTATATGACAGAAAGGCAGATAATGCCCTACATTTCTATGTCCCCTGCTCTGTTGTAGAAATTCAAAAAAAAATCATCTTATCAAAATACCAGCCAAAGGGAGGTTACTGTTACTGAATCACATAAGGGGGAGTATCTTCAAGTTGTAAAACATACATTTTTCCATTTCAGCTATAAAAACTAGAGCTCAAAATTTCATAACCCTCCTTGATTTGCATTGATAAGGCAAAGTCCATGTAGTAAATGTACTGCTATGTAAAACCTAATAACCATAGAGGTACAAATCATGAAATAGTAAATGTGAAATTGCACTATATTAAAAAATTCTGTGAAAGTTTCAGACATCTAGACAGACTGTCAGGAGTTCAGGTGGAATTGCTGATAGAAGGTGTCTAAAACCTATTGCAAATTCATCCAAATCCAAAATACCACAGGGATGCTAATATATTAATATAGGGCTCCAAAAAGGTACCCCTTATGTCACAGGGTCAGGTTTAAAATTCCTCGGGTTACCAGGTCACTTTTAAGCAAATTTAAGCTAGTCTGTTTTGAACATTTCCAGAGGTCACAGGTCATTCTAAATGAAATATCAGGTAACAAGATCGCACCTGCCAAACTCCCCATTGTCGCAAGGTGGATTTGACTATGTTGGAGCCTAATATAGGTGACATACATATGAAAGATTCAATGAAGATGATATGAAAGATTCATTGATATTCGATTTTGTTTTAGAATAGATGCAAATACAATATTGCCAAACCCCTTGTCATGCTGTTGGACATATGGCATTGTCCAAGTCCATATTCTGATATATGGAAACCCCATAAACTCAATGAGATGACAAAATGAACTTTGGAATTGCACACTTACATTATTATGATTATGTAAGAAAGATTCTTTGAAAATTTCATAAAAATCCAGCCATGATGAAAGAACAGACAAGCAAATGCAAAATGAATGAAGGGACAAACAAAAAGACACATTAACCACTATTTGATAATAGTAAAAAATTATTTCTTTGGAATTCAAAATGTAAAAAATCAATGAAATATTTACAAAAAATTATTATGCATTAATGTTACATGAACTGTATCAGATAGATATTAATTCAATGTTCACAAATATTTCATGGAAAGTAAACTTTGTCTTGGGGAAAATACTACCTACATTACCCTTATTGGATGACTGACTTTACTACATTGGAACCTCTTACATAAAGTTATGCAAATGACACATATGGAAATCCTAATATGTAGCAAGATACTTTATCTTTGTTCTGAACAATTCTTAGGTTCAACAGATTCCAGTTAAATTTGTGTTGGTCCACCAGAGGATGTTTCCGGAAGACAACTTTCTGAATCACTGCATATACGCTAAGAAAGATAAATTTCTATGAGTAATTGTGACCAATACTAACTATTGTTTGGAGTCATTGTGACCTATTCTAACTATTGGTTGTACAATCCAGCTGAAGTGTATGTTATAGATACAACCAATGAAGAATTTCAAACTGCAAAAACTCGCATAGACATTTTGTCCTGGTCTGCCACTACTTTTTTCCCTGAATACTGATTACCATATTACAAAAAATGAAACAGCCATATTTCTATTTCCAAAATAAAATCAATGACTCTCAGAGGAGTTATTTTGGTAACCATGTTGATTTCTATCTTGCACAGGTCATATGTCTGTTGATGCTAGCTGCTGTAATTTGACGTGGCTCCAGCCAACAATCGACAGATCCATCCCCTCACTGTCCTGATGATCTGGCTAGGTAAAGCACATGGCTGTAACTTGGTTAATACTTCTCCACATTGCATCATATAATCAGTTCATAAATTAAGGAAAATATTGTTTGTTGCACATATTCATTTTAGTTCTTCACCTAAATTTCCCCTATCTGACCATACGACTTAGTAAATGTATTCACTTTTAACACATAATACATACAAAGTCCAATAAATCTAACCGAGCAATATTCTGGACAATGCACAGCTTAGATGTGCATTAACTATCCCATTTAAAATGCACAGATCTTATTTAATTGAAATACAAATCTTGCGTCCACCCTTTGCTATCAAGGATCTAACAAAGCTCTGTTCTACTTTCTGTTTTGATCATTGAAACTTGTGTTTCTAAATTTGTTTATGTTATGTATTATTACAAGAAAACCTGAGGGCCCTTTAAATATCTTCAAAAGTTTATTTCAGATTTATGGAAACTGTCCACTCCAGTGGACTTCATTATGGAGAATGTAAAAATGAAGGGATAACAAGAATATTAAAACTTCAAAAAAGGGCAGCATGATACATTTAGATACATATCCTTTATCTCCTTCAGCCCCTTATTTAAAGAAATTTGGTGGATGATAGTTAAAAATAGCATTAAGGTAGATTAATTGTATACCGCCATCTTGGATTTTAAAGTAGCAGTTCACAATAGGTCTAGTTCTTTGCTTAAATCTGCAAATTTTGAGACAAAATGGTAATTAATGGGTTTGTTTATTGGAATAAAAAACAAGTGATTTGTTGCATTATTCAGACTGATTTATCAAATACCAAATATTTGTGTTTGTTTGAATCAAATTGTCAACATAAGCCATTTAAGGGGAGATAACTCAAATAGTAAAATTTTTACATTGAAATGATAGATAAATTTTCAATTTTTACTTGTAGCAAGAAAACGAGGTTGGTGACACCATTTTTTCTTTTTACTTTCTTAAAGCATTTTTGAAATCCTATCTTCTCATAATTTATTTCAAAATTCTATCTCATAGATTTCTTTTTAACACAAATAGTTGTTTTTTCATGAACAATCTATGCAAATTTGGGCAATTTTTCTATCTGGGGAAATATATACCAATGATCCACCTTAAATACCACAAATAATTACTTCTATTCAAATTTGTCCATTGGAAGCACCAATGTTACTCAATGTACCTAGTTCAAATGTTTTAACTGATATCAGATATAATCCCAACTCTTTGAGAGGTGTTACTCAAGGTAATCTGATAGTTCCTATGCCAAAGCAGAGCTGTTTAAAAAATCTTTTGTTTACTCAGGATCAGTTCTACAGGAGGGACTACCATACAAAATGTTTAAAGTCAAAAACAATTTTACTTTGAAACAAAATATCAAGAAGTACTTGACACAGTCCTGATAAGTTTCTGTTTTCTACAATGGACTTCAGTATTTTGATATGTATATTATATTCTTTACTCCATAATTTTTAAAATAAAAAGTTTTTACCCCTTTAACTGTTCTCTTTTATAATGTAACATTAAACTATGTGATTGTAAATTAACTACCGGTATTTGTACATATCTGTTTTTGATAGTATTGTTTTTGTATTTGAGGGCCTCTTGGAAGATAAGTTTGTTGTAACTAACCGTGTTTACCCTCTTTAAATAAAGAATTTATCAATATCATTATTATTATATAAAATGAGATGTGATATGATTGCCAATGAGATAACTATACAACATAGTTCAAATGAGGCGAATTTAATATAATTCATAACATGTATAATAAACAATGCATCTATAAAAGGATATATAAATGACCATGGAGCTTTACCACCATTTAGGTATATCACATAGAGGTATGCGTCACGAGGTTTTCCCTGAATGGAGTAGTAATAAGGTAGAAAACTGTGTGCCTTGAATCTACGTCTCTCATAAAATCTGATAGCTATGTGGTTTGTGGCCAGCACATGTAGATACACAGCTTTACAGTTTGATCTCTCTTTAGTGGTCAGACTTTGTATTAAACTGTCCAGCAGCAGGGAAGCTGAAATATACAAATTATTTTATCATCATTTTTTACAAAGGATTACCTATAGCCCTCTATTAATCATCATTCATATTCAGTATGAATAGATGCAAATCTGGGGTATATGTATATGTCTATATCTTCATATTTAAGCATCACATCAGTCAAATCATGCAATAACTGCCTACATTTGTAGCATGCCTAAGGCCTTCAAAGATCCTAGTCCTTGAAGGACTAAGGCATATGTATAGCTAGTAATACACGTCCTTGGTCCTTTTCTGTTACCAAAAATAAGGTTGATTTTCAACTCGCGCAAAAGTGACTAAAGCCCTCAAAATCCTAGCTGAAACCCTGCTGTTTACATAATAAAAGACAATGTTTGACATGACCTTTTTGAATTATCAATCAGCGTGCTAAAATCCCCTTTTCATGATTGGTTCCCTGCCCGTTTGAAATCCTAGCTGGAACACTGTATGATTTAGCTCTCCAATGATATACAAAACTTGGAGACCTCTATAGAGGTGAACATGCAATCTGTAGCAGTAGACAAGTACAATAAAATGCTCCGCAGGGCGCAGCTTGATACGACCGCAGAGGTCGAACCCTGAACAGTTGGGGCAAGTATGGACACAACATTCAATATTTGACACAGCTTAGGTTACTGACACAGAATGAATGTGGTCTAAGAACTTAAATTTTTTTATTAAATTGGACATTCACCTATTATGGTCCAATATCCAAAATCTAAATACATGGTTAGATTCAGCATATCAAAGAACCCCAAGAATTCAATTTTTGATGAAATCAAACAAAGTTTAATTTAGGACCCTTTTGACCTCCATGTGGATAAAGTTGATAACAGGGCTCAAAAATCAAAAATCTAAATACATGGTTAGATTCAGCATATCAAAGAACCCCATATATTCAATTTTTGTTGAAATCAAACAAAGTTTAATTTTGGACCCCGATTTGGACCAACTTGAAAACTGAGCCCATAATCAAAAATCTAAATACATGTTTAGATTCAGCATATCAAAGTACCCTAAGAATTCAATTTTTGTTAAAATCAAACTAAGTTTAATTTTGAACCCTTTGGACCTTAATGTAGACCAATTTGAAAACGGAACCAAAAATTAAGAATCTAACTACAAGGTTAGATTCGGCATATCAAAGAACCCCAAGAATTCAATTTTTGATGAAATCAAACAAAGTTTAATTTAGGACCCTTTTGACCTCAATGTGGACAAAGTTGATAACGGGGCCCAAAAATCAAAAATCTAAATACATGGTTAGATTCAGCATATCAAAGAACCCCATATATTCAATTTTTGTTGAATCAAACAAAGTTTAATTTTGGACCCCGATTTGGACCAACTTGAAAACTGGGCCCATAATCAAAAATCTAAATACATGTTTAGATTCAGCATATCAAAGAACCCTAAGAATTCAATTTTTGTTAAAATCAAACTAAGTTTAATTTTGAACCCTTTGGACCTTAATGTAGACCAATTTGAAAACGGAACCAAAAATTAAGAATCTAAATACACGGTTAGATTCGGCATATCAAAGAACCCCAATAATTCAATTTTTGATGAAATCAAACAAAGTTTAATTTTGGACCCTTTGGACCTCAATGTGGACCAATTTAAAATCGGGGCCCAAAATCCAAAAACTTAATACACGGTTAGATTCAGCATATTAAAGAACCCCAAGAATTCAAGAATAAAACCCCATTGAAATTGGTCAAGAAATAAGCAATTAATACTGTGCAATTGAATATTTCTTGCTATTGCGCAATACTGTACAATTGACAATTTCTTGCTATTGCGCAATATTGTGCTATTGGATATTTCTTGCTATTGCGCAATACTGTGCAATTGAAGATTTCTTGCTATTGCGCAATACTGTGCAATGAAAGATTTCTTGCTATTGTGCAATACTGTGCAATTGAAAATTTCTTGCTATTGCACAATACTTATTATATAATAATTTACACATCCTGTTTGGTGTGTATCTCCTACCATATCATTATTATTTGCTTTTAAATATAAATCAGAAATAACCAACTTAAAATGGAAAATTTTAAAAGAAAAAAAAAGAAAAAAAAGGAAAAAAAAAAAATCCCCCCCCAAATTTTTTGAAACCCCTTATGATTCATCACCCCCAAACTCAATCCCAGCCTTCCCTTTGTGGTATGGTACCTTGCAGTACAATTTCAGAGAGATCCATACACTTGAACACAAGTAATTGTCTGGAAACTATAAAAATGCTATTTTTGGCCCCTTTTTGGCCCCTTATTCCTAAATGTTTTGGGCAATTACCCCCAAACTCAATTCCAGCTTTCCCTTTGTGATATGGAACCTTGTAGTTCAATTTCAGAAAGATCCATACACTTACACACAAGTTATTATCATGAAACTAGAAAAATGCTTGTTTTTTGCCCCTTTTTTGGCCCCTAATTCCTAAAATTTTGAGGCAATTACCCCCAAAACCAATCCCAGCATTCCCTTTGTGATATGGAACCTTGTGGTACAATGTCAGAGAGATCCATACACTAACACACAAGTTATGTCTGGAAGTTACAAAAATGCTTATTTTTGGCCCCTTTTTGGCCCCTAATTCCTTAACTGTTGGTATCATAACCCCCAAAATCAATCCCAACCTTCCTTTTGTGGTATTGAACCTTATGGTAAAATTTCACGGAGATCCATTCACTTAAACTAAAGTTAGAGTGTGAAAACCAATGTGTCTTCGGACGACGCCGGACGACGCCAGACGACGACGACGACGCCAACGTCATACCAATATACGACCAAAAATTTTTTTATTTTTGCGGTCGTATAAAAAATGTCTACTCTTAAAACCTTGAGTCAATAGAGGTCAACACTCATTATTTTTTTTAGATTATAATATCTTGCACTGTTAAAATAGTGAACGTAAGGTAAAAATAAATAATAAATTAAGTCTTTAGTGTTTTTACTTCACATACTTCAGTTAATCACAACTGTAAAACATAGAAGTATGATAGGAATACCTAACCTCAATTTGATCAAAACTTGTAAACTAAAAACGTAAGGTCTAAATACCTATCCCATGTTTCCTGAAGTCCACTACAACTCCTAAACTTAAAATATATGCCACCTGGGAAGTTGATGGAAACTGTGGGGCTAGAATGTCTGCATCCTGGAAAAAAACAAGAACACATTACATAATAAATCTGTGTTTGTTTAGTTCTTGTATGATTCAATTTTTAAAGTTAGTTCTTGTATGATTCAATTTTTACAGTTAGTTCTTGTATGATTCAATTTTTACAGTTAGTTCTTGTATGGTTCAATTTTTACAGTTAGTTCTTGTATGATTCAATTTTTACAGTTAGTTCTTGTATGATTCAATTTTTACAGTTAGTTCTTGTATGATTCAATTTTTACAGTTAGTTCTTGTATGATTCAATTTTTACAGTTAGTTCTTGTATGGTTCAATTTTTACAGTTAGTTCTTGTATGATTCAATTTTTACAGTTAGTTCTTGTATGATTCAATTTTTACAGTTAGTTCTCGTATGATTCAATATTTACAGTTAGTTTTCGTATGATTCAATATTTACAGTTAGTTCTTGTATGATTCAATATTTACAGTTAGTTCTTGTATGATTCAATTTTTACAGTTAGTTCTTGTATGGTTCAATTTTTACAGTTAGTTCTTGTATGATTCAATTTTTACAGTTAGTTCTTGTATGATTCAATATTTACAGTTAGTTCTTGTATGATTCAATTTTTACAGTTAGTTCTTGTATGATTCAATTTTTACATTTAGTTCTTGTATGGTTCAATTTTTACAGTTAGTTCTTGTATGGTTCAATTTTTACAGTTAGTTCTTGTATGATTCAATTTTTACAGTTAGTTCTTGTATGATTCAATTTTTACAGTTAGTTCTCGTATGATTCGATATTTACAGTTAGTTTTCGTATGATTCAATAATTACCGTTATTTTCTGTATGATTCAATATTCATCATTAGTTTTCGTATCATTCAATATTTACTGCATAGTTACAGTATGATTCCATATTTATCATTAAAAATATTTAATGAGCAGAAGTCTAACATAATGGTAGACAACCAAACTTCTATATCTTTATGAGTCATGTGCAAAAACCAACTCTATAATTACAGACACATAAGAACCGACATAGAAAAATTACTTTGATTGTGTACAATTATTTCTGATACATTATACTACAATACATAAAAACTAGAAGTACTGTGAGCAAGACTCACACTCTAAATGATACCACTGCCACTTGCATAGTCTATGCTTTAGTAAAAAAAGGAAACACTAAAAATAATTCAGATAAAACAAGTGAATATGTGAACTACTGATACCCCGCCCCGCTAAAAGTATAAGGTAAACAGGAAGTTGTTGAGTGATGAATCTGAAAACGCATCACACGGTATAGCTGACTTATATAAATCCTGAAACCAAATTTCAAAAATCCTTGTATTGTAGTTCCTGAGAAAAATGTGACAAAAATTTTCAACTTGGCTATCATGTGTAAAATCATAGGACGGACTGAAGGACTGACGGATGGACGGACGGACAGACAGAGGTAAAACAGTATACCCCCACTTTTTTAAAGCAGGTGTATAATTTAAAGCGGGTATAAATATAAAATAAGAGATTCAATGGAAATTTCATCAAATTCTACACAGACTTTTGTTAGAACTGGATACATGTATATTAAATGTGTACTGTAGTTTGATCATGATTTCTCGAAAGAAAAGTGATAGTGACAACTATAATATTTGTACTATGTGTCTCATGTCATTTTATACATTGTTTTTGTGCTTAGTGATAATCAAAACTATTTCAAGAAATTTGAACAGTTTGTTCTATTGTTGTACTGTTACACCCTGTCCCAGGTTGTCATGGTTATGGGAATGGGTCAAAGTTCACAAACATGTTTAACCCTGTTAAATTCTTTATGTGCTTATCCTAAGTAATGAGCCTTTGGTCACTGTCTGCCATAATTGTTTTTCTGATAATAATTTTTGTAAAATTGAGGTTGTTGTTTTCTCTTACTTGAATGGTTTCACATTTTGTCATCCCATAGCCTTTTGTAGATTACTATATGGCATTTTTTTTTGCTCATTGTTGAAGACTGTAGGACGACCTTTAGTTGTTTACCTCCTTGTCTTTGGTGGATAGTTTTTCATTGGCTAACATATCACATCTCCTTCTTTTTTATTCAGATTGATTTTCACTGTGATAACTCAATGTCCTAATAATGACAGGTAAACTTTTTTGGTCAATTTAATTTTTTTAATACATTTTTACTCTTAAATGCGCTGTACTTAAAATAGGAAAAAATGCCCTAGGCCTGTACATATTATAATAAAAACTTAAAAATAATAATAAATGCCAATTTAATAGTGTTTTGTTTTAATTAGGTGATGGACTCAGGAGGAGTTTCCTTTGATGAGACTTGATAAGGCAGCTGTGTCTCTAGTATTGAGTACTGTAAATTCAGAAATTATTGAGAGGTTTATATTAATGCTAATAACATGAATAATTTGACTGGGTGAGAATGGCAATAATAAGAACTCTGATACATGTATCTGATACATATATCTGTATGCAGTTTTTCTTGAAAATGTAATAACTAATCTCGCATTTTTGTCCATTTTTCAAAAATCGCAATAATAAATGCACGCAATAATTTCTGACTTCACAGTAACATACTCAGACTGACCTCTTTGTTTAGAGACGACAGAAGTTTGACCTCCGCTACAACAATACCCACAATCCTTGATTGGAATGTTGCTGCCAGTGAGTAAAACTTTGGATTGGAGGTTATTTCTTGATACCATGTATCTGGATATCTGTAAAATATCAATAAATAAACTGTTGACACAGAGATATGTCTCAACTGTAGGTAATTTAGATAGTAAGATGCATGTTGAATTATAATGGCAGTACTTTACCATTTAAACTTGGCAAAACATTCAAAGTCAATAAACCATGACTGAGAGGGCAATGCCATATTATCTTCATGAACATGAGATGTGGTAATGCTAAATCAACTACATACCATTAGTGGTAAACTGACCTAATCACAACCTTTAACATGAAAACTGTATAAAAGTTTCAAAGTCAGTAGACCATGACTTAGGATATAGTTCCAAATAATCTCCATGGAAATGAGATGAACTAATTCTTATACAGCTGCATACCAAATATCATTGACTTAACATTAGTCATATATAAGGGAACAACCATTTAACTCTGAGGTGGGTTACGATTTTTCTCTAAAAAATATTCTGACTTCGAACTATATTTTGATCAGATAGGAAAAATAATATTTCTCATTGAGAGATTTTACCATTAAATTTTTAAGTTCTTCAAATATATTTTGAGCTTCATGTGTCAAAAATAAAAATTAATTTGATGCTTGTGAATTGTGTGGTATAAATAAAAATTTCAGAATAAAAAAAAACATAACCTACCTCAAAGTTAAAACTTAAAAGGTTGTTCCTTATCAGTTCCCTCTAAACTGACCTACATGTACATTGTACATTTTAACCACAAACTTTAACAAAAAAGATTTGCAGACTTCATGTACTTTCGGAAGTAGCGGGAATTTCAGTCAAAGATCACATACTGTAGATTAATCTGTTTTCATTGATACCAATTTTCATGGATCGATTGAGGATAAATTGTAATTTTCTTTGATATTTTGACAAATTTTGTATATATGCCAATATAAAATTTGTATTTGGTTGAGCAACTAAATTCATTGTTTAAACGTATCCATGAAATCCACAAAAGTTAGTTTTCCATGAAAAATAATGAATCCACAGTAATTGTAAACACTACCTGTGTTCTCACTGACCAACATGACCAATTGGGGAAATCTACCAAAAGGGGCAGTAAGGGGGTCACGGTGTCATCCCGAATTCCTGAAAAAAATAGAGCATTCTTTCCCAGATCCAGAAAAATTAATCATTAATTCCTGAGTCCCAATAAGGGTTTATCCCGAATTCCAGCGAAAAATATGGGCCAAATCCCAAATTCCTGCAAAAATAAAGGCCTAATCCCGACGTCCTGAAAAAAGGTCTTTCCATCCCTCTACCAAGGGTATCAAAATGTTTAATTTGCTATATTGACAGACATGAATCAATGTTGAGGTTCAGAAGAAAAATCATGACAATGTGATGACTACTACATGTATGTACTGTGGAAAACATAAAAAGTTATTTCTTTATTCATTTAGTGAAATTCTAAAATTGGATTCTGTTCTATTTTATTTTTCGTCAAACAACTGTCTTTAAAATATAATGCATATTTTATCTAATCAATCAAATATTACGTTAAACTATTTGGAATAATGTTGTCAATGAACTTTTTTATTTAATACTTCAGAAAGATTTTTGAGGCTTGTAAATTTGTACGTTGATTGATTAATTGTTGGTTGTTTAACCTCCAGTCACAAATATTTCATACATGTTCAGAACGAGAATGTTGATTGAGGAAGCACGCAACATTCCCTGTTCCTTATACTGAGGTTTATATCATACATGTAGCTGTAATGTATCTTAACATAGTTTTATTAATAAAACTTACTCAATAGGGAACCATTCTGTGCAAAGTTTCTTGACTTCATCAATATCTTCTGGGCAAAGGAATCGTAACTGGATCTCTCTCTGGACACTGAAGGACAAAGCTGTGCTCATATCTTAGTAGTCATTTCACAATGAAGAAGCATTATATCTTTTTACATCACGATGGTTGTCGTTGACAAATGAAATTCCCTTGTTAAATGCTGCAAAAGAACAATAAATTTTTGACACAGAGATATGTCTTGCATGTCTTGCCTATCGGCAGAAAATTCAATGAAAGACAATCTGATTGATTGCACCATTGTTAAATAATTTAAAGTTGCTCGACCATGACAAAGAGGGCAGCGTGTCAAAATAATCATCAAACAGGGATGTATTAGGTGTTATTTGAACTACTTAGTATTTAAGAACATATTATGGGATTATTGTAATGGGACAATATATATAAGAAGATGTGGTATGAGTGCCAATGAGAAAACTCTCCATCCAAGTCAAAATTTATAAAAGTAAACCATTATAGGTCAAAGTACAGTCTTCAACACGGAGCCTTGGCGCACACAGAACAGCAAGCTATAAAGGGCCCCAAAAATTACTAGTGTAAAACCATTCAAACGGGAAAACCAACGGTCTAATCTATATTAAAAACGAGAAACACTTACGAACCACATCAACAAATGACAACTACTGAACATCAGATTCCAATGCCTTGATATAGTTGTCAAACTGTTATGTACTAATAACATGAATAATAATGCAACTTTATAGAAAACATCATTGATCTATCACAAGCAGTACCAATCAAACTAATTAAAACAGAAAACTTAACAATTATTGACACAGCGACGATGACAAGGCCACTGTCAGGAAAAGCAACACCTGTCTCGCCTTCAACAACTTTTGTCACAGGAGAGACAAAAAATTTTGTGAATTTTGGAGTTTTAGAAGTTATTTCACTGGTACTACATTCTAATAACATTACAGTACCAATATTAATGCACTAGATCTCATTGTGATGCTCCCTGCCAAAATAATTGAAAATAAAAATAAATGGGGAATGTGTCCGTGGGACACAGATGATGCCCCCCTTTTGCATATAACGTTATAAAGGGACATAACTCAAGAACTGTAAAAGTGACGCTACCCAAATTTATACTTGATCTGAGTTTTGTGGTAATAAGTATTGTTTACAAGTTTCATAACATTTAGTTGAGGCAAACTTAAGTTGGAGAACGGAAACGAAAATTCAGCAATTTTTCCATTTGTAAAAGGGCATAACTCAAGAACGGTAAAAGTGACGCCACCAAAGTTCGAACTTGATCTGTGTTTTGTGGTAATTAGCATTGTGCATAAGTTTCAAAACATTTGTTTGATTTAAACTAAAGTTAGAGAACAGAAATGAAAAATTCAGCAATTTTTCCATTTGTAAAGGGGCATAACTCTAGAACGGTAAAAGTGAAGCCACCAAAACTCGAACTTGATCTGTGTTTTGTGGTAATAAGCATTGTGTATAAGTTTCATAACATTTAGTTGAGGTAATCTAAAGTTAGAGAACAGAAACAAAAAATTCAGTAACTTTTCCATTTGTAAAGAGGCATAACTCTAGAACGGTAAAAGTGACACCACCAAAATTCAAACTTGATCTATGTTTTGTGGTAATAAGCATTGTGTAGAAGTTTGATAACATTTGGTTGAGGCAAACTAAAGTTAGAGAACAGAAACCAATTTTGGGATGTACGGACGGACAGACGTACAGACGACAGGGTAATACTTAATGCCCCCTCCGCTACGACGGGGGCATAAAACTGTTTAGAACTTTAAATATTCCTTTCCACAGTCATGACAGTGGATTGTTGGTAATTTTGATTCATCGTTACTTATCCACTGTAGATTGACATGATTGAGGGTAATTATAATATTTTGATACATCGATATCCTAAATTATAACTTATTAACTGATTACACTACTTCTCAAAAATGAGTGTCACTTAAACATGTTTAAGGGGTTGAACTTTCATTTTCTCAAAAAAGTTTGACACATTTTGAAAAGTGCTTTATGTATCCAATGTAGATTTTGAAAGTTGGCAGATATTAACACTTAAGTCTCCTTGGAAACTAAAATTTTAGCATACTACATGTACTAAGCCAGTAATCAAACGTTTACTGTTATAGTTGTTATCAGTTGTAATTATTGAGTTCTTTACATTGACATATTTGGACATGTTGGAAGAGGTTAAAAATCTTTCATTAACTGATTTTTTTATGTTTGTTCTTATGTTGTACTATTACACAATTGTCCCTGGTCAGTGATTCGATTTTGAGCACTTGTTAACATTTTAAACAGTCATTTTCTGTATGTGCTTGTCCCAAGTCAGGAACCTGTAATTCGCTGTTGTCAGTCATTTCAAGCACTGGGCCTACTCTTAATCCCTGAACATGCTGAAGGGAATTGCTGGTTCTGTGAGACTGATGAAATTCTGCTTCTATAAATAAAATTCATATGCACACTTCTAGAAAGTAGAAAAAAATCCAGATCACCATTTTTTCAGAGCGTCAGTTTTGTATTTATGAACTGGATATAAAGGTATTACTTCCATTTGTACTTCTTTCCAAAATTAAATTTAGTAAAGTTTGTAATCATTAAATGTTTTAAAAAAGCAAGAGCAGCCACCTGGGCAAATAATATTTTACGTCTCAGTGTCAGTGATCTGATCATTATATTTTCTTATTTCAGCATATATGTACATGTAGCTTTGGTAAGTGGTCTTCAAAGTTAAACCATTGTTAGATACATGTGTAATATGCAACTTCCATGACTTGAAACCTTTGCTTGGTCTAGATAAAAAAAAACTAAACTAGAGGCTCTAAAGAGCCTGTGTCGCTCACCTTGGTCTATGTTCATATTAAACAAAGGACACAGATGGATTCACGACAAAATTGTGTTTTGGTGATGGTGATGTTTTTGTAGATCTTACTTTACTGAACATTCTTGTTCCTTACTATTATCTCTATCTATAATGAACTTGGCCCGGTAGTTACAGTGGAAAATATTTTGTAAAATTGATACAGCTCTGAATTTGGATTGTGATTAAATATTTGACACAGCATAGGTTTCTGACACAGAATGAATGTGGTCTAAGAACTTAAATTTTTTTAATTTACCTATTATGGTCCAATATCAAAAATCTAAATACATGGTTAGATTCAGCATATCAAAGAATCCAAAGAATTCAATTTTTGATGAAATCAAACAAAGTTTAATTTTGGACCCTTTTGACATCAATGTGGACCAATTTGATAACGGGGCCCAAAAATCAAAATACATGGTTAGATTCAGCATATCAAAGAACCCCATATATTCAATTTTTTTTGAAATCAAACAAAGTTTAATTTTGGACCCCAACTTGAACAAACTTGAAACTGGGCCCATAATCAAAAATCTAAACACATGTTTAGATTCAGCATATTAAAGAACCCCAAGAATTCAATTTTTGTTAAAATCAAACTAAGTTTAATTTTGGACCCTTTGGACCTTAATGTAGACCAATTTAAAAAAGGGACCCAAAATTAAAAATCTAAATACACGGTTAGATTTGGCATATCAAAGAACCCCATTAATTCAATTTTTGATGAAATAAAACAAAGTTAAATTTTGGACCTTAATGTAGACCAATTTGAAAACTGGGCCCAAAATTAAAAATCTAAATACAAGGTCAGATTTGGCATAACAAATAAATAAAATGTGGTCAAAGATTTTACAAGTCTAATGTGCCATACTGTGCAATTAAAGATTACTTTTTGAAATTTTTCAATATTTGAAATTTGAAAAAAAAAAAATATTTGAAGAATAATTCTTTTTAATTTCTGAAATCTGAAATGAGAAAAAATTGACCCCCACAATTTCTTTATACCCCCTATAAAAAAGATTTTTTAAAATAATTACCTATTTAAATTTATCATAGTGCTAACTTAATCTATTTTATAATAGAATTTAAAATATGGTGTCAAATCTTTCATATGGATATTTTTGTAAAAAAAAAAAGATGCAACATTTGCAGATATTTTTACTGGTCTTCCTGTATAAATATGCATTTCTTTAAACATAATTTAAAAGCAGTGTAAGGGAAGTAATCAAAACGTTGTATGTGGATTACCTCCCTTACACTGTTTTAAATTGTCTTAATTGCTCATTAACCATTACTTTATACATAATTTAAAAGCAGTGTAAGGGAGGTAATTCAAATGATATAATTTGATTTATCTCCCTTAGACTGCTTTAAATTATGTTTTGTACTAAAGTATTTTGTCCATATAAAAATGCTTGTTTTTTGTCCATTTTTTGGCCCCTAATTCCTAAAATTTTGAGGTAATTACCCCAAAAATCAATCCCAGCATTCCCTTTGTGATATGGAACCTTGTGGTACAATGTCAGAGAGATCCATACACTAACACACAAGTTATGTCTGGAAGTTACAAAAATGCTTATTTTTGGCCCCTTTTTCCTTAACTGTTGGTACCATAACCCCCAAAATCAATCCCAACCTTCCTTTTGTGGTATTGAACCTTATGGTAAAATTTCATAGAGATTCATTAACTTAAACTAAAGTTAGAGTGCGAAAACCAATGTTTCTTCGGACGACGCAGGACGACGCCAAAATTTTTTTGCGGTCGTATAAAAATTGACTATAAAGGGCAATAACTCCTTAAGGGGTCAATTGACAATTTTGGTCATGGTGACTTATTTGTAGATCTAACTTTGCTGTACATTATTGCTGTTTACAGTTTATCTCTATCTATAATAATATTCAAGATAATAACCAAAAGCTGCAAAATTTTCTTAAAATTACCAATTCAGGGGCAGCAACCATACAACGTGTTGCCTGATTGGTCTGAAAATTTCAGGGCAGATAGATCTTGACCTAATGAACAATTTTATCCCATCAGATTTGCTCTAAATTCTTTGGTTTCAGAGATATAAGCCAAAAACTGCATTTTACCCTATGTACTATTTTTTAGCCATGTCGGCCATCTTGGTTCGCGGGCGGGGTCATCGGACACATTTTTTAAACTAGATACCTTAATCATGATTGTGGACAAGTTTGGTTAAATTTGTCTTAGTAGTTTCAGAGGAGAAGATTTTTGTAAAAGATTACAAAAATTTACAAAAAATGGTTAAAAATTGACTATAAAGGGCAATAACTCCTTAAGGGGTCAACTGACCATTTTGGTCAAGTTGACTTATTTGTAGATCTTACTTTGCTGAACATTATTGCTTTTACAGTTTATCTCTATCTATAATAATATTCAAGATAATAACCAAAAACAGCAAAATTTCCTTAAAATTACCAATTCAGGGGGAGCAACCCAACAACGGGTTGTCCGATTCATCTGAAAATTTCAGGGCAGATAGATCTTGACCTGATAAACAATTTTACCCCATGTCAGATTTGCTCTAAATGCTTTGGTTTCAGAGATATAAGCCAAAATCTACATTTTACCCCTATGTTCTATTTTTAGCCATGGCGGCCATCTTGGTTGGTTGGCCGGGTCACCGGACACATTTATTAAACTAGATACCCCAATGATGACTGTGGCCAAGTTTGGTTAAATTTGGCCTAGTAGTTTCAGAGGAGAAGTTTTTTGTAAAAGTTAACAGACGATGACGACGGACGACAAGTGAGTGATGAGAAAAGCTCACTTGGCCCTTTGGGCCAGGTGAGCTAAAAATATCACAACAACTACATGTAAACCATTGGTAAATTGATGAAGACTCTAGCTATAGAATCAAGTAAACATTGCCACCATTTTTATGAATTCTGATTGTACTTGGAGAACATCAACTACCCTCAAAGACAATCTGGCCACTCTATAACATAAGTGAGTGAGGACTGGACCCTGTGTTCATGGTGTTGAGTCCCCTTAGTTCCTCCCCTTCATCATCATAAATCCCTGATTTTCCAATATATATCAGTTATTTGTACTATATGAATACCAATATCACAGTCTTCATGATAAACTTTTGAAACTACAGGCCCAAAGCTGAATTTTACAAACATTTAGTTAGACACTATTGGCCTGTAGAGATGATTTTTACAGGCACAACCGCATTTTTACAAGCCTGGGCTGGTGAGCCTGTGGTTGAACGTGACGACTGATATGGATATATCATGAATATATACCCTATTTTTACATGTTTTAAATATACATGTTCAATGATGTTAACTATCAATGTGCCACTCGACTACATGTATAGAGCAAGCGATTACCTTGTGTTATACATAATACAACAATATTATAAAGCTTGTATAAAATATACAAGTCGATAAATAAATCAACTATGATCATGACCTGACATTGAAATTGATATGATTGTAGAGTGTCAAGTTCCATCAACATATTATCATGATTATGACTCAGTTTGAACTATGGTCCTACATTTACATTGTATTATGGTGTCAGGGTGCCATTAATCGGTCGATTATATCTCAATTGAGGTATATATAATCCATCATTTGACATATAGCGAGATAGACCAATTGAGGTACATGTATAATGCAGTTTTTATCACAGCATTTTGTGAAGAGATATTCAAGCATCTTTTTGCATATATATATATATTTTAAGCTCTGATGAGTTCTTATTGGTGACATGTAATTGCATCTGACTTCCTTTGCGCTGTTTCTGGAAAATGTGGATTATACCTCAATTGAGGTATATATAATCCACTAATTGATCTATATTCATGACTGGTTTCGTTAAGTCTGCATTGGTTCCAATTTAAAGATTTGTTAGTCGTACCGGAAGATACTACAGAACAAAAATAAGGTTTAATAACTTAATAAGTGAAAACTAAGAATTTATAAGTAGGAAAAGAAGGGTCATATAACTTTTTGGGTTTCTCTGACAAAATGCAGCAAGAGGTGTCAGAAACAATTACATGTCATCACCAAATGGTTTTTAGTGAGTGTATGTTTACTTGTTTTTGTTTATATGTCTTTTTGATCGAGTAAAGCCATTTCAATTGATATTTTATAGTGTCTTTTTATGTTGTAATGTTACACTACTGTTTCAGGTTAGGGTGAAGGTTGGAGCCTGTTAAAACGTTTAACCCTGCCACATTCTAGGTGCCTGCCCCAAGTCAGGAGCCTGTAATTGAGTGGTTGTCGTTTTTTGCTGTTTCTCATATTTGTTTTTTGTTTGTTTTGCATAGTTTGTTCTTATGTTTTACCGTTGCACCGCTGTCCCAGGTTAGGGCAGGGTTTGGCGCCAACAAACTAGTTTAAACGTGATGCATTTGTATGCACCTGTCATGTCAGGAGCCTGTTGTTCAGTGGTTGTCGTTTGTTGATGTGGTTATAAGTGTTTCTCGTTTCTCTTTTTTTATATAGATAAGACCGTTGGTTTTCCTGTTTGAATTGTTTTACACTAGTCATTTTGGGGCCTTTATAGCTTGCTGTTCAGTGTGAGCCAAGGCTCATGTTGAAGGCCCTACTTTAACCTAAAATTGCTTACTTTTTACACACTGTGACTTGGATGGAGAGTTGTCTCATTGGCACTAATACCACATTTTCTTATTTATATTAACTCTTGTCATCATGGTCATGGTAAATCCTAGATGTAAATATGCAAAAAGATGCTCGTATATCTCTTAAGAAACATTTTGGTTAAAAACTGCATTATACCTCAATTGGTGTATCTTATGATGTCAAATGGTGGATTATACCTCAATCAAGGTATAATCCACCAATTAATGGTTATTCCTGACCTGGTCAGGATCTGTTAAAAGCAAATGTTGATGCCATGACAGCCATTTTCATAAAATACAAGATTCTTATTTGATACCCCTTGTAACTGATTTCAAATTTCGGTATAAAACCATTTATACGGATCTTCACTGACCCTCTAACCTGAGGACGGAATTTTTTTTTATTAATATTTGGATTTCTCTGTTTCCTGCAGGTGCGTGATTAAAAATAATTATGAAAGTTTAAAGTTTATAAATCATTAAACAAAACTTCGTGATCATTTACCCTCTTTTCATTCATTTTAACTCAAAGGAACTTGTAATGAGTTGAGGATAAGCATTCAATACAAGGGCGTCGAAGTTGATAGTAAACATTCCAACACAGGAAGTAAAAATTAGGGTAGGTTTAAATTGTGTCTAGCACCTAATTATTTTTTGTTTAACAAATAACAACTTTCCGTACTTTTCTGTATCATAACTAAAAATCTAAACGGCTAATATCGAAAATCAGTACATCTGTTTGAGTCCCATATGAATAAACGTTTGTCCTTAAAGGTATTCGTTTTTAACAAAAAATAAATGAGTAAGATCGAAAATGTAATGACATATTTTATCCCCAACAAATCTTCTGAGCGATTTATTGCAAAAGGTCATTTCGGCCCACACACAAAAACACACATCTGGACAAAATTGTTATGATTTTTTTTATAAAAGGAAGAAATCTAGAAATTACAATTTTAAATTCAATATACATACACTTGAATCAGTTATCAAAGATTATTGGTATGCTATTTTATTTAGACCTTCAGAATTTGTTCTAATTAGTTGTAATCATCTGTGTTGGAGAGCCTCAAACTGCTTTATTGTGTAATAATTTCATTTGATTGTGTTGCTAAAATTTTGGGCACCATGACTGGCTAGTTAAAAATTCTTATCCATGATTCTGTATTCTGTAGGTGTCGCTGTTGACACTAGATGGTCTCTCTTGTAAATATAAGTCTCGCGTGTACAATTTTCACTCTGGTAAACAACTCATTTGTACTTTAATTATACATATAGGTGGCAACTGTATTAAAATGTTAAGAGACAAAAAAGGAAAAAAAAAAATGATTTAACATTTGTAGTGAAAAAAAAACTAAAAAAATTTCTTAATAAAAAACGGCGCGACTTGCGGTTAAAATCACCCAACAACCGCATTTATTTAGTGATTCTCTAGACACAGAGGAGTTGTCGTTTTTTTCTATTGACAATAAAAGTTCTAAATCAATATGTACTGATCCCGTGTTAAAAAATATATCATGTATAAGTTTCTGTCTAGCCTCTTCATAATTTTCACAAAAAAGTAAATAATGTTCCACGGTTTCTAATTGACCACATTCACACTTTGGATCTACATTTGAATTGATTTTGTTTTGATGATTTTCTAGGTAATATCCTGATCTTAAATTTCTAATAATTTTTTATGTTTTATGATCTGGAAAATCAAGTGTTAATTTTTCATTGACATTATGGTCGAAATTATAATAGAATCTTCCTGTATCAGAACTGTCCCAAGTTTGAACGATGTTGCCATTTTTTATTGACTAAAATCCTTGCTGCTGTTTTTATATCTTGTTTTGTTACTGTAATATAGGCTTCTTTTTCAATTTCATTCGCCTCTTTAGCTGCTTCTTTAGCTAGTTTATCAGCTATTTCATTTTCTCTGACATCTGCATGTCCTGGGGTCCATTCAAAATTAATTTTTATTCCATGGTGTTTTTGGATAGATTTAATAAGTGAGATTATTTCATGAGAAGTGGATCTGTGATTTTCAGTTTTCCAGTTTAATGATAATATTCCAATAGCTGATTGACTGTCTGAAAATATTTTTACTTCTTCTATTATGGTTTTATTTTCAACTCTGCTAATATAATCCAAAACTAATTTTATTGCTACAAGCTCTGCTAAAAGAATAGAACATATTTTTGATACTGGTTGTTTTAATTCTTTTTCTGTGTTATTGACTATTACAATTGCACCTGCTCCACAAGGTCCAGGGTTGGACTGGCAAGAACCGTCTGTAAATGCAACAACTGTTGAAGGAGATACTGTGTTAAGTTTATTTAATATTATTTTTTTTCCTGTAATTTCTTTTTCTTTTGTTCTGTTTTTTTTGAGGAACCCAAAGTGCGCCAATATTCTGGTGGAGATTTTGATGCTTGTAGTCTATTAAATTGATATTCTGGCTCTATGTCATCAATACTGATATCAGTTTCTTCTTTCATGTTTTTGGCTTGGTGTAACATTAAGCCTAAATGTGAGATGACCTTGTCAACTGTAGGTTTGTTTCTCCATTAATCTATTTTGTTTCTGATAGGGATTTTGGTTGAATATGAGTTTAATTTGGCAATATTTCTTATTGCCATTTCTTCTCTTCTAAGATCTAATGGAAGTACTCCTGCCATAACTTGAAGTACCTCCAAACTGGCCGTTGAAGATACTCCAAGACAAATCTATAGACAAACCCTTTCTTTGGATGGTATTTAATTTTTTAAGGTGTTCTTCCTTTCCTGTTTGCCAAATGCAGCTTGCGTAGAGAAAAATGGATCCTATAATACTGTTATAGACTTGAATTAGAAATTTTGGCTTTATATCACCAAATCCCTTTATTTCTCTTATAATTACACCTTATGTAAGAATCCTGGGTTTTGATTGGTTAATAGCCAGTGTATTTTTCACCAATTTACTGTTATCAAATGAATATCGTTAATTTTTTAACGCCGCCGGGGTATATGCAAAAAGGATATGCCTTTTTTACCCCCTCTGCCGTGGTATTTGCCAAAAAATACTCTATCCGACTGGACGCTTGTAACGTCACGATCATCAATGCGTTTTTGAACGTTAACATTCGGTGTAATTAAACAGATATAGCATGTTCTTGAGGGGTATTTGCGAAAAATACCAGTCTTGAGAATGAATTTCCCTCGCCTTACGGCTCGCGAAATTTAACATTCTCTCGACTGGTATTTTTCGCAAATACCCCTCCTCAACATGATATATCTGTTCATAATTACACCTTATATAAGAAAGCCACATTTTGATTGGTTGATAGCCAGTGTATTTTCGCATATTCTAATATTTTTTCCTCATTTCAAACGAATTTGCCCGTTTTTTACCACTGCCGGTGAATTTGCCTCAAATACCATGGTATTTGCCATTTTGGATATTCCTTTTTTACCCTCTCGAGCATTTTCCCGCCAAATTTTTTCAGATATGACGAACGTTACACAAAAAAGCGAGCTAACGCGTACTAGTACATGTATAATTCCCGCGGTTCTATGATAATATCCTCTTATCCTCAAAATTATGCATAAACATGTTAATGAATTAGTTTCAATCCAAATCTATTCGGTGTAATTAAACAGATATATTTGCGAAAAATACCCCTCCATAACATGATATATCTGTTCAAAATACCGAGAGATTTTCCAGCTTTCTTTTCCATGTTGTTAATATGTTCGCTGAAGGTAAGTTTTTCATCGAGTGTAACTCCTTATAATTTGGGATTAGGATTGTATTTAACTTTTTAGTTGCCTAATACAAGATTTACTTTTCCTGGGTGTATTTTATTTCTTGAAAAAATGCAGTATTCTGTTTTATTTGTATTAATATTAATTCTCCATTTTTCGCTCCAATTCATAATTGTATTTAATTCATCTTCAGTTGGGTCTTTAATCTTAATTTCTCTAAATCATTACCAGTATTCCAAAAGGTACTGTCATCAGCAAATTGGCATTTTCCAGCCTTTACTTTTTCAAAAAGGTCAATAACAAAGATATTAAAAAGAATTGGTGAAATTACAGACCCTTGAGGTAGTCCAGTTTCCATGATATTTTGTATCCTAAAATGTCCTTCTCTGATAAACTTCGAATTCATAATTTTACATATTTGAAACTTTTATCAGCTGTGTGAAGCCTTTACTACTCATCATATTACAGTAGAATTTTTTATACTTTATGTCAAAATGCCAGATTTTGATTGGTTAATACGAGGGAGACAGTTTACTCTATCCCATGACAAATACTCTATTACCCTTCACGTCGGAGATGCTTGCGCAAGTGTGCGCTTTAATAAATACGATGATTATTATGTACAAGACGACATAAAATTGAGAATGGAAATGGGGAATATGTCAAAGAAACAACAACCCGACCAAAGAGCAGATAACAGCCGAAGGCCACCAATGGGTCTTCAATGCAGCGGGAAAATCCCGCACCCGGAGGTGGTCCTCAGCTGGCCCCTTAGTTTAATTATTACTTTGAATTTGAAATTTAATAGACAGTAATAACAGAACATTCAGTATAATGAATTAAATAACACATATCTGAGAGGGTGATAGAGCAGATTGTTACCCCTCGAAAAGCCATTGTCAACCTTGGCCTCGCCTCAGTTGACAATGTTTTCTCGGGGTAACAATCTGCTCTATCACCCTCTCAGCTATGTGTAAAACAGTTATTTATATATTATTATACTTCATGTCAAAATGCCAGATTTTGATTGGTTAATTAATACGAGGGAGACGTTTACTCTATCCCATGGCACATACTCTATTACCCTTCACGGAGACGCTTGCTCAAATGTGCGCTTTAATAAATACGGATGATTGTTATGTACAAGACGTCATAGTTTATTACTTTGAATTTGAAATTTAATAGACAGTAATAACAGAACATTCAGTATAATAAATTAAATAACACATATATGAGAGGGTGATAGAGCAGATTGTTACCCCTCGAAAAGACATTGTCAACCTTGGCATCGCCTCAGTTGACAATGTTTTCTCGGTGTAACAATCTGCTCTATCACCCTCTCAGCTATGTGTTATTTATATAATGACCACTTGATATGATTGTCAGATACACTTGAATCGCGAATTGAATAATATTAATACATATATCTGAGATTATCTATTGGTCACAGATAACATTAACAATAACATCTCCTGATTTATTATTTGAAAATAAAAATAATTCTACAAAAGACTATTGATGAATTGATAGCCTACTTACTAAGTATTGGTAATACACCTACAGAAGGCTATCTTGGAATTTTCTGGAAAACATTTTTTTTTTTTATTTTCAAAATTATTATTATTATTATGTTTCTCATTTTACATGTTTTAGCACATCCCGGGAAATGTGCGTACAGTACACAGTATTTCATTTATCAGGACGAAGTGAAATTCCATCTTGTAATACATGTCAAATTTTTGGAGAGAGAGAGAGAGAAAAAAGGCGAGAACAACTCTTTCATGGAATAGAAAATGTAGCCCTTATTTCAATTAAAAACAAATGATGACGTAGACAATTTTATCTTAATTCACGAGCATATGACA